TTCTTTTGACGAATCGGTCAACTCTGGGCCTTTCCATGGTCCAAAAGAAATATTCACCACTATATATTTATTATCTCGACCAAGGTGAATAAAATATATGGTCTCGGGAATGTCGGGCGGCCCCCGCTCCCGGTGTGGGTCCCACGTGCAATTTACTTTTCACGCGAAAGAAATAATAAAAATTTACAACTTCGTAAATTCATTAATCCCTTAGTAAGGTTCAATACATTATTTACATAAAAGTAAATATATTTGGGGACGGTGTTACAAGTTCACCCCCCCTTATTTGGGATTTCGTCCCCGAAATCCAAGTATCTAATCGAAAAGAAATGGGTATTGCTCCCTCATTGAGACCTCGGTCTCCCAAGTTTCTTCTTCGACTCGATCACTTCTCCAAAGAACCTTTACCATAGGAATCTCCTTATTCCTAAGCTTCTTCACTTGTTGACCAACAATCTTCACTGGTCCCACCGCATATTGCAAGTCCTCACGGATCTCTACCGGTGGTTTCTCAAGAATATGAGATGGGTCTCGTATGTATTTCTTGAGCATTGATACATGAAACACGTCATGTATCTTCTCAAGTTCAGGCGTCAACTTGAGACGGTAAGCCACGGCCCCGATCCTTTCAAGGATCTCAAACGGACCAATGTATCGGGGGTTAAGCTTTCCCCTCGATACAAATCGAATGATGCCCTTCCAAGGAGAAATCCTTAGAAAAACCTCATCACCGACCTCGAACTCCAACGGTCTCCGCCGTTTGTCAGCATAACTCTTCTGTCGGTCCTGAGCGGCCTTCAGTCTATCCCGAATGATCCTTACCTTGGCCTTGGTGATCTCAACCAGTTCTATCCCTTCGAGTTTGGCCTCGCCAACCTCGTCCCAACACAACGGTGTTCTGCATTTCCTCCCATACAATGCTTCATATGGAGGCATGCCGATACTTGCTTGATAACTGTTGTTATAAGCAAACTCCACTAGAGCCAAATGCTTGTCCCAACTTCCTTGGAACTCCAAAGCACATGCCCTAAGCATGTCTTCCAGAATCTGTATCACCCGCTCGGACTGTCCATCCGTCTGTGGGTGAAAAGCTGTGCTAAACTTCAGTTTAGTCCCCAAAGATGCTTGAAACTTTGGCCAAAATCGGGATGTGAATCGTGGATCCCTATCCGAGACAATGGATATTGGGACTCCATGCAATCTCACGATCTCCTCCGTGTATAGCTTGGCCAATCTTTCAAGGGGATAAGTAATGTTGATAGGCAGAAAGTGTGCACTCTTGGTGAGCCTATCAACCACTACCCATACTGCATCGTAGTTGTTCACTGTTCGTGGCAGCCCCACCACGAAGTCCATGGTCACATGTTCCCACTTCCACTCTGGGATGGTGAGTGGTTGTAAGAGCCCTGCTGGGTGCTGATGCTCTGCCTTAACTTGCTGGCAAGTAAGGCATCGACTCACAAACTCTGCAATATCCTTTTTCATGCCTGACCACCAGTAACTTTCCTTCAGATCTCGGTACATCTTAGTACCCCCTGGATGCATGGCATATGCTGAAGAATGAGCCTCCTCAAGTATAGCTCTCTGGAGCTCCTCATTCTTTGGTATGCACACACGATCCTTAAATAGTAAAAGACCGTCATCACGTACCCGAAAATTCTCGACGGGCCCCTCAAGGATCCGTTCGCGGATTTTCTGACATTCCTCATCAATGGCCTGACTTCGACTAATCTCGCCCAATAGGGTGGGCCTAACCTCGAATCGAGCAATGAGAGCCCCGCACGTGGACACCTCCACGCGCGCCCTCAATGCCTGTAGGCATGTGAGTAGCGTCCCCGACGTACTCTTTCTGCTCAGTGCGTCGGCCACGACGTTGGCCTTTCCTGGATGGTAATCGATGATCAAGTCATAGTCCTTGATCAACTCCATCCATCTCCTCTGTCTCATATTCAACTCTTTCTGAGTGAATACGTACTTCAAGCTCTTATGGTCTGTAAAAATGTGACATGTCTCCCCGTAGAGATAATGCCTCCAGATTTTCAGTGCAAACACTACCGCCCCCAATTCTAGGTCATGGGTAGGGTAGTTCACCTCGTGCTTTCTCAATTGCCTTGAAGCATAGGCAATCACTTTACCGTTTTGCATCAGTACACATCCAAGCCCTTGGATGCTAGCATCACTGTATATATCATACCCTATCCCTTGTATGGGTAGGGTAAGGACTGGTGCTTCGGTAAGTCGTTTCTTCAGTTCAAGGAACCCTTTCTCACACTTGTCGTCCCATATGAACTTGGCCCCTTTCTTTGTGAGCTTCGTTAATGGAGACGCCAATACAGAAAATTTTTCAACAAATTTACGATAGTATCCTGCTAAGCCAAGGAAACTACGTATCTCTTTCACATTCTTGGGTCTCTCCCAATCCATGATAGCCCTTATCTTGGCGTTATCCACAGCAACGCCCGAACCGGATATGACGTGACCAAGGAACCCAATCTCCTTAAGCCAAAATTCGCATTTAGAGAACTTGGCAAAGAGCTGCTTTTCCCTTAGCCGGTCAAGTATAAGCCTCAAATGATGTTCGTGCTCCTCCTCGCTCTTGGAATATATCAAGATATCATCAATGAATACTATCACAAATTGATCTAAGTATTCACTAAACACACGGTTCATCAAGTCCATGAATGCTGCCGGTGCGTTGGTTAAACCAAATGACATCACAAGGAACTCGTAATGACCATACCTAGTGCGGAATGCACTCTTAGGTATGTCGCTCTCCTTGATCTTCAACTGATGATACCCCGACCTCAAATCAATCTTTGAGAACACTATTGCCCCCCGAAGTTGATCAAACAAGTCATCAATCCTCGGTAAGGGATACCTGTTCTTGATTGTGACCTTGTTCAACTGTCGGTAGTCAATACACATTCTTAGTGTACCATCCTTCTTCTTCACGAAGAGTACGGGTGCCCCCCACGGTGAATGACTGGGTCTGATGAACCCGTTGTCCAGTAATTCTTGTAGTTGGACCTTCAACTCTTGGAGTTCGGCCGGTGCCATTCGATAAGGGGGAATCGAAATGGGTTTGGTTCCCGGCTCCACTTCGATTACAAACTCTATCTCTCTATCGGGTGGGAGCCCCGGTAGGTCTTTGGGAAAGACATCCGGGTATTTGCACACGACCCGTACATCTTTGATGTCGACTTCCTTCTTGGTATCGTCCACCACGTAGGCAAGGTATGCGTGGCATCCCTTCCTCATCATCTTCCGTGCTCTCATCACGGATATTATACAAGCATTAGATTTCCCCCGATCTCCCTCGAAACATAGTGTGTTTCCTTGATCATCCTCGAGCTCCAACACCTTGGTGTAGCAATCTACTCGAGCATGGTGTTTCTCGAGCCAATCCATTCCTAGGATTGCATCGAACTCCAACATGCTTAGAGGTACGAAATCACAAGTCAAAGGTTGACCCGTCACTTCCACCTCGCACGACGGATAGTAATGATTTCTCTCCACGTCGTCTCCTAACGGTGTGGAGACTAGCAATGTTTGCGTCATAGGTGTCAATGGCACGTCAAGGCCCTCGGCGAACGCCTCACTCACAAATGAGCGTTGTGCCCCGGTATCGATGAGGATCCTCGCACACCTACCATTGATCTTTAATGTTCCTACATTTGTACACCATGTAAGATACATTTTCTAAGGTTTTTACACATCATTAGGATGTTATTTGGTTCATACTAATGTTTGGAATCAAACGGGGGTCCAAACGTAGAAGAACGGGGCGAAAAATCAATTTTCGGGTGCCTGGGGTCCACGCACGGCGTGCCTGGGTGGCACGCACGGTCGTGCGTGCGTGAGAAACCCGGAATCCGCCACTGCCGGCTACGCACGATCGTGCGTAGCTGGTCACGCACGATCGTGCGTCCTACGCACGGCGTGCCTTACCTGCACGCACGGCGTGCGTCTGCGCGGAAAACGGCCAGAGGCTACTGCCTCGCACGCACGGTCGTGCGTCTGTAGGTACGCGCGATCGCGCGTAGTTGTTTTTAGCCCGTTTCGCCCCGAATTCGCGGGGTTTGACCCCGGGGTGGCCCGCACCCAAACCCAATGACTCATATGACCCAAATAAGCCTAGAAATATAGGAAAATAAGTGTATTACCTGCAACGGAGTCCGGGTTTGCTCGCGCATCCGCCTCGGTCATTGCGTACACTCGTGCTTGGGTCCCGCCTTGATTTACGGACGCGGCATGGCTTGTGGACGCGCCGCCTCTTCCCGTACCGCCGTTTGACGGTCCCGCACGGTTTCTTCCCGTCATGGTTCCTCCTCCGGATCCCGAAGCTCCTCCTCCCCCTAATTGTGGGCAATTTGCCTTCATGTGGCCCGTGTTCCCGCATTGATAACACCTTGGGGGTGCATTGCACTTCCCAACATGATTTTTCGAACAATTGGCACACTTTGGAGGCCCCGTCCTTTGTGAGGAGGATGCATGCCACCGAGCATCCCTGTTCTTCTTTGCCGGTGGTGCCGGTGTCTTGAACGAACCGCCACCTCCACCGTGCTTATCCTTTCGTGCTTGCTCGGGCGGCCCCGAACTTTGCCATTTCCTCTTTTTCGCCTCCTCGGCGTCTCTCTCTTTTCTCTCATTCCATTGGGCCTCCCCGAGAAGGCCCTGCTCCACCACCTCACTGAAGGTCATGTGGCGCGAGTACGTAGCTCGGTCACGGATGTCCAAGAGTAGGGCATCCCAAAAGTGCTCCGTCATGCGGTTCTCATCAACCGCGTACTCCGGCAAGAACCTAGCCAAGGTTCTAAACTCTTGTTCCAGTTGCTTAACTGTGCCGCCCTCTTTCTGTTTGAGGTTAGTGTACTCTCTCCGTTTCACATTCACCTCGTACTCGGAGTAGTATTGAGCATAGAACTCTAGCTCAAAGTCCGCCCATGTTATTTCCCCATGGTACTTCCCTTCCACGCTCTCCCACCACGTAGAAGCTATCCCTTCAAGTAGCCGTGAAGCGACAGTCAACTTCACGTCCGGTGTGATTTGCATGTCTCTTGATGCATCCTTCACCTTCTTAATCCAATCGGCGGCAACGGTAATGTCACCGGTGCCGTCAAAGGACCTACACCCCAAGGCCCTAGCCTCCTTGAGGTACTTGGAGATTCTCACAACAAAACCTCCTTCACGCCCACCTTGTGACGCCGCTGGGGTGGCCACGGAAGCTCCCCGGCTTCCTTGACCCGAACCTCCACGAGAGCCACGCCTCGCTTGGCGCCTAAGGTCTCTCCTCAGTTTTTCTTTTTGATACCACTCAAGCAATTCGCCCATTTGGGCGAACTTGGCATCACTCTCTTCATCATCATCATCGGTGTATGCATCACCCCCATCATACGGGGTCTCTTCATGCTCCGTCTCTGGAACGTAGGTTGAGTCATAGTCTTCGGTGTTGGTTTCATACACCGAGCTCACATGGCCATCACTCACAGTTTGAGCTTGATGACCTCCACGGCTTCCACGGCCTCCACGGCCTCCTCTCGAACCCCGAGATGCAGCCCGGCTTCCCCTTTGGGATGCTACCGGCGCCTGCCCCCTCGGATTGTTCCTGGTCCTCATTCGCCTGCCCTCCATTTCTGAAAGAAATATGGATGAGTCATTAGACTCCTATAAATGTCAATTGACGGAAGAACGTTATAGACACGTATTGGCCCAAGTCACTACCATACCAATTGTTAAGGGTACCGTCTTAACAATCAGAGGCCTTGCAACTTAAGCACCAATAGTCCCATAAACGTCAAAATACAATGCTCATGGTTTTCGGTAAAAACCCTTTTGTAAAATCTTTTGTGAGAGGTTGATTATAATGTTTAGAACTGAGATGGCTCTGATACCACTTAATTGTCACGCCCCAGACCGCAATCCAAGCGCGTGTACAACCGCCGTATAACTAAGTGACGTCACCCACGGGTCAACCTCACTTAATTACACAAGGCGTTCGAGAAAACAATCCATCCATACTCAGTAGTAAACTTACATAACAACATCACATTAAACCAATGAATAGCGGAAATATTCAACGGTAAGTCATGGGCCACAACCGGCCGACAACATGGGCATGCAAGCCCCAAAAATAGTTTGTAGTAAAACAAATATCCATGAGCAAGTGTTCGGTAGTTTGAAAGAAAATAAGGAAGCACGAACCACGTCTCCCTGATTTGATATCACCCGTGAGAAGGTGCAAGTAGCAAGCTCTAGCTTCAACCTGAAAATGGTGGGGCCCCCCGAAGGGGTCAGTACAAGTACCGAGCGAGTAGCAGGCTAAATATAGAATAACTAGCGTTTCAAGTATAAGACCCAAACATAGGGTGATACTTAAATAAATAATCTTTCCCCCAAGTTATGAAATACTTATTAGTATATATATACTTGGAAAATATCCGATCCGTAGATCACCATTTTATTCGGGAAAATAGTAATAGTCAATATTCTTGACTAAAAACCCCAACCCACCCATATACCTATGAGTGTATAGGACTCCTCCTTGTCCCTACTTGTATATCACAATCTATGAGTTTTAGGATCATAATCCTTGGATACTCCACCGGTTTGTGAGTGTTAAGGACTCATAAGTCCTAGGGTCCTCCACCAAGTTTGAGTGTTAAGTACTTTTAAGTACTAGGGTCCTCCACCAAGTTTGAGTGTTAAGGACTTTAAGTCCTAGGGTCCTCCACCAAGTTTTGAGTGTTAAGTACTTTTTAAGTACTAGGGTCCTCCACCAAGTTTGAGTGTTAAGTACTTTTTAGGTACTAGGGTCCTCCACCAAGTTTTGAGTGTTAAGTACTTTTAAGTACTAGGGTCCTCCACCAAGTTTGAGTGTTAAGGACTTTAAGTCCTAGGGTCCTCCACCAAGTTTTGAGTGTTAAGTACTTTTTAAGTACTAGGGTCCTCCACCAAGTTTTCCTATGATCAACCTCCTATCAACCTAGATAGAGTCTATATCATCCTTAGTTACTCATAACTAATCCAATACATAAATCTTATGTATCACAATCCATGCAAAGCCATGCATTTAAATAAATGCATAATTAACTAACATCAACCGATAATAATTAATCCATCATCCATCGGTCAACGTTGTCGTTGACCGCCAATTCAAGCCTTGTTCACATCAACTTAATCATCATATAATTAAGTCAATAATACTCATTTGAGCTTCTTTTACACTTCAAGCTAATGTGCATTTTATATAATCTCTCATATCATATTTCATGCATAATCAATTAATTCTTTTCATACAACTTGATAATGTTGGCTAATCACATGTTTAATTATCTTTTAAACATCATTATGAAAACATATAACATTTATTTAGGTAATCTCATAATTAACCCAAAAGTTATAAGATATTAAGCCGTCCACTCACCTTGAACTAGCGTATGAAGTTCTACCCTTCTTGGTTGAACTCCGGTGAAACTCCGGCGACTTTTGGTCAACTCCGGCGACAACTCCGGCGACTTTTCCAACTTTGTGAAATCACTTGAAACACCCTTTACAAGTGCCTAACAAGGTTTTATAATCATAAAACCCATATTAATACAAATAACCTCTAAAAGGTCATTTCCCGGTGAACCGGTCGTTTTGGCTTCTAAGTCCGTTCTTGGACTTAGAACCATCTTCCATCCCATAAATCCATACTCATAACATGTGGAACCATACTAAAGGTCCTTCACATGATATATACCTCATATGGTAGGAGAAAATGAAGAAGAAGTTATAATAAGGTCATTACCTTAATTATTCACACTTTTAGCACTTTAGTTCCTTTTCTTGGGATTTCTTCTTGTTGAGCTCTCTTCAACAATGGAGAAGGAAGGTGGAAGCTCTCTTGCTCTTGCTGGATGAGGGATGGCCGAAAATTAGGGAGAGAGGGGGATGGGGATGAGCTTTTGTCTCATTAATCCAATGAGTGTAGAATGGGGGTCCACTTTAGGTACCTTTGATGCCATTTCCTTCATATCACAATCCCCTCCCCATACTTCCCTATCCCACCAGCCGGCCAACACTCTCCTTGAGTGTCCAAATTCGTGGGTTGGCCCCCACTCATGTGGGAGGTCAACCCTTTTTGTCCCGAAGTGTACAATCGGTCCCGAAAGTTGTATTTTTCGGACTGTTTTAAATATATTTTATTTTATCGGGTCAAATAAAATATATTATGTGCTCTTACTCATTATGACATGTATAATGAATATACATTCCCCAACTTTAATTTATAAGCCTCCGAAATTCAGTTCGGGCTGTTATCAGTTAAATTACCAGTACCGGTAATTTGGGCTTCTTTTGACGAATCGGTCAACTCTGGGCCTTTCCATGGTCCAAAAGAAATATTCACCACTATATATTTATTATCTCGACCAAGGTGAATAAAATATATGGTCTCGGGAATGTCGGGCGGCCCCCGCTCCCGGTGTGGGTCCCACGTGCAATTTACTTTTCACGCGAAAGAAATAATAAAAATTTACAACTTCGTAAATTCATTAATCCCTTAGTAAGGTTCAATACATTATTTACATAAAAGTAAATATATTTGGGGACGGTGTTACATCTTCACCCTTCACTAAGATCTCCTTCTTAAAACAGAAGTCTCTAAGCTATTATCACCTTAGAAGTCCAACAGAAGACCTTGTGAGGGATTCTGTTCCAAGATCAGCAGAAGACCTCAGGAAGGGTTCTGTCACAAAGACTCCAGAACACCATACCAAGGTATTCTGATTGAGACCTTCTGTCCAAAGCATCTCTGTCACTAAAGCACCTCTGTCTCTAAAAATAAGGAACGTTCATCTAACCTCACTCAAACACTTCACTTAGGTTCCTTTGAGATCATGAAACTCAAATGACCATCTCTCAGGCTTCTCCTTTTCCACTTACTAACAGAAGGTTGTTATATACATAGAGGTCAAGACTTCCGCTGTGGATCCTTAATCTCTCAAAAGGTTACTGATCATCATATCTGGGAGGGAAACTCTTTAAGGTTGAAAAGGCTTTAAAAGTCTATTCACACCCCCCCTCTAGACTTTTACCTCTATCTGGGACCATCATCAACCATAAAATCTTGCATATCTAGCGCACTAAATGTGCTTCCTGTTAGTTCTAGCCTTTCCGCCGACTGCTTTGGGGAGCTCTCCGACATACAACAACACCATGTGAGAAAACATCAAGTATCAAAATATTACCGACCACGGATCCCGCGCGGAAAGCGAGCTTGCATGCTAGTTAGGTCGTCTAGAGTTATTTGGGCTTGAACCCAATACCCCAACACTACCAAAATTATTTTCAAATATACTTGTTATTTTACAACCTTCTTTGAAATATTATTTCTATAATAGTTATTCAAATAAGTTTCTCCAGCATATTTTTATGTTAGAGTTGAAAATAATTTTTTAATAATTAATAATCGTTGCACAAATATTGATTCAAAAGATCTAATTGTATCTTTTTTGTACAATAAGTGCTTTTGCTAGATGCTATTTAATAGTTCTCAAATTTTAATATAACAATGATTTAATAACATTTTAATTAAACATCAAATATTTTTTTATTTAAACAACACATGGCAATAGAGGAGGTTATATATATTATAATAAATAAAATCTAGGAATAGATAAGAGTGGATCCGGAGTTTTAAAAGTTGGATATCTTTTCATTTATGGTACGTGTTGCCACATGTCACATTTTCCTTACAAAGATATTGACACATGTCAATTCATCTAAAGAGTTCTTCAAGGGCGGGCTCTAGTATATAATATAGAAATGAAGTTTTTCATTGATATTATAATTTAAGAGTAATAGTAAATTAATTATTTTACTTTATTCAGAATGTTCATTCATTATACAAAATAAATGGTCTCATATACAAATATCACTTCATATAGACAACATCATAACTCAAATACACATCTTAATTCAGACAAGATTAAAAAGAAACAAATGTTAATAGTCCCTAAGAGCCCGTTTGGTAATATTCAAATTGGATGAATTAATTGATTCTACTAAAATTTATGAAGTTCTGGCTAAAATAGATGGATTGACCGATTCTGCTGATTTATAAAATATATATATATATATATATATATATATATATATATATATATATATATATATATATATATATATATATATAAATAAAATAAATAAAAAATATACCCCCTGCATCTCTTAAAACTTTGCCAAGTTTGACCGGCATGTGGATTATTAAAGTAAAAACTGTGTGGTCGAGATTTGTGTAGAGTATAGAATTAAGTGGAACCACAAATTCTTTACTTAAATAGAAAAGTAACAAAGTTAGTGGGACATTCAAAAAGGAAAGTTTACAAAGTTTTAAGGGACGGAGGGAGTATGAAAAAGTAGCTAAAATAATCATCTATAGTAACTTCAGTCAATACATCCAGAAACGTAACATCAACTTTACTTTTTTCTATTATTACACAATTTAGCGCGCGAAATCAAACGTTACGTGTTTGATAACAAAATTGATTAATAAAAAAACAAAATTGATTGATAAGCTTTATAAGCCAAAAAAATATGGTCATCAAATGAGTATTTAACCACAAAAACATGGAGTACATTGGGTAAAATTTGGGAAAAGAGTCAAATATGCCCTCGAACTTAAATAAAAAGGTCAAATAAGCCCTTATATATAAGGCTCTATCCGGCCGTCGCCATTTGGGCGGTTCCTGGTGGATTTTTGAAGATTTTTTTTGAAAATCTTATTCATTAAGTCGGGTTTACATATATCAAATTTCAGCTAGAACTTCAATCAGAAAGACATTCATATGAATTCTTGAATATAACTATGCAGTTAAAAGTTATTCTTATTTCACACCTACTTTGCACTTGACAAAGTCCATCGGGAGGCAGATAATAGTAAATTAATGATGATCTGAGTTGATCTGATTTTGTGTGATACTTCGTATGATGTTTTTGATAGATATCTGTTTTATGTTGCAACACTTCACGGAGGTAATAGTAAATTAACATTTTTTTATAGATATACCGGAGTATATACTAATTCAATATTTGGAGTACTTCGTATGGGCAGAATAAATTCCATTTTTGGTCCTACGAGTTTTATGTCAATTCCACATTTAGTCCACGCCTTTCACTTTGTCCAATTTTGGTACATGACTATTGTGTTTTTGTCCACATATAGTCCTTCCGGCCATGTTTCCGGTAGTTAAAATCGCCGGAGAAAGATCACAAATGGTAAAAAAAAACATTAGTCAAGTATAAAAAATGGACAGAGTGAAAGACGTGCACTAAATGTGAAATTGACATAAAACTTGTAGGACCAAGAATGGAATTAATTCGTATGGGCAAGTACCATATACACCTGCCAGCTAGCTTTCCCAACTGTCCCGTTCGGCTGAAAGGTGACAATTCATTCTACAACATTCATAACATTTTTATACTCCCTCCGTAACTTAAAAATCTTCTCACTTTCCTTTTTCGTCCGTAACACAAAAATCTTCCCATTTCTAAATCTTCTCATCATACCCTCAATAATTCTTAAAATAATACACTATTACAACTACTTTTTTTGGATTTATCCTACATTCCACCACATTATTCTACTATTTTCCCATCATACCCTCAATAATTCATATCATCTTTCACTATTCTTAATCTACCTACTTTTGAAATGGGAAGATTCTAAAGTTACGGAGGGAGTACTTTGTACTATCTATAACGTCCTCCGTGTTTAAATATACATATTCAAAAATCATGACCAGCTTGCATGTGTTCATCCTAAATGCTCAAAGTACGTCTTCGCCCTCAATCAATAAGGTAATTTTTTATTTATTACTCCTAAATTTGGGACAAAGGGATGTTGTGTTGTTTTTAAGAAAAAGTGAAATTGTGTGATTGGTATGAAATTGATAAAGTGTAAATAAAGTAGGGAATTCTAACCACTCAAATATCACCTAATATGATATGAGACAAATTTAATGGGACGGACGAAAAAGATAAAATAGGATAGGAGACAGAGGAGTGCAATTCTTCCTTTAATTTCTGAATCTTCTGGATTCACATTATTTTGTGTGTTTTTGGAGTGTGTGAACGAGGACTAAACCCAGTTTACCGATCTTGTCCGATCGAATCTTGTTTAATACCCGGACGTACTTGTACTTTCCAATTGATTGACTTTTTAGCAGACAAGTCAGAAAAATATAGTTGGATGGGATCCTAGGAATTCATTTTTTGTGATAAAATCATCCTTCCAAAATTGGCATATAAACAGTTTGTAACTTTGAATATAAACGTAATCTACTGTTGTCAGGGCCGTCTAATGAATTTGGAGGCCCCGGTTCAATATGTAAAAACGGGGCCCACATTAATATAACATATTTTTAAAAAAAACTCAATCGAAATACTTGTACTCAAATTAATTGAATATTGCTTAAAAATGTACTAAAAGAGTAAAAGGATCAACGAAAAAATGATGGGTCTATATTTTTTCCTTACTTGGTAACTATAGTAATATAATATTATTATATAATATTAATAAATTTTTAAAAATTTGGGGCCCCATACATTTGGGGGCCCTGTTCTGGATAACCTATTGAACCCCCTAAAAAACGGCCTTGACTGTTGTTGCCTTGTTGGTATCAAGGTAAATCGAGTAAAAAATCCCTACTGCGTATTTTTTGCTTTGGGACTGTGATGGAGTAAAGTAGCAATCGGCGAAATTTCGACTCGATGTTCATCATTAGTCATTTAAAACGGACCTTCTATTAGTTCTATAGTATACATCCGACCTCCTACTCATCCTAACTGGGGTAATGTTTTTGTTGTTTGCTTGATTGCTCCTTTCACTATACAAATCCCCACTGTTCTAAAAATCGTTCTAGGCGCTCAAATAGTCACCGCCTAGGC